TCCCTCCAGTGGGAAGCAGTGAGTCACAAAGCAGTGACCAGCATATGAATGAGGGCACCCTAGGGGAGATGTGCACACCCTGTCAGGAGCTGAAGAACCTTCCCAGGTGTCACGTTCTAGTGCTACCCAAAAACAAAGCAGGTTTTCCCCACAGAGGATACAGCTGAGTGGTCCAAGCACTCTCATATGCAGTTGATTTTGCCAGTAGGTCTTTTCCCCCTAAAAACTCCATTTGATTCCTGAGAAGTGTTTCCAGTGAAACTCCTCCAATGGCGGCCATCATTGACATCTTGGGTGGGACCACTACCAGCTCCCAGGAGCACATCTCTCCTCATCCTTGACAGGCTTTGGGGGAAGCACGTGAATTCCCAATGGCAAAAGTCCCGCTGGCATCAGCAGGACAGCATCAGGCCTTTTGCATCTTCTTCTGTGCTGGTTTTCAACCAGCACCATCAGGCTGCAGGGATTAGCCCGTTCCAAAAACCAATGAAGAGAAACCATGTGTGGCTGCCGATGACACTACAGACTCTTCATCTCACCTAGTAGGGTGGGGGGAAAAAAAAAAAAAGAAAGGTTGTAGAAGTCTGAATTTGGCCACATCTCCCTCAGACACAACATCTGTTTCCGTGCAAGCAAGAAGAAAATGGGTGACTAACACACAGCTCTGCTGCTCGGCAGCTGGCCCCTGGATCCTCCTCTGTGGCGCTAAATGTGTCCCTGGCAAACAGAAGGTTGAGATTTCAAATGAGGAATTAATGAAAATGCACTCTTTTCCTGCTTGTTGTGCCTTTAAATTCAGTTTCCATGGAAACAGGTCTGGAGAGGCTGCCTGGAGGGAGCCAGGAGAGATCTCTGCCTGGCCGCCTTCCCCTCTGGGTTGCCAGCTGAGACATCCCAATTGCCAGGCTTTTACAGAGGTTTTTGCTATTGTCATTTATACCTGGAATAGGAGTGGTGGCTCCTTGTGGGTTCCCTTCTCTAAGCTGGGCCACTTGCAAGCAGAGCTTCTCTCCTTTCATTGCCTGTCCAAAGGGACACAGGCTTGTCTGAACCTGAAAATGTCACTGCTGTTAGAAACATCAATTCCACCGCTTTTTTCTTTTTTAAAAGTTGTGGCGGGTGTGATCTGAGCATGCAGACTGAGCTGGGAATGGTGGCAGAAGGACAACTTTGTCGTTAGTTCAATGTTTATCCCAGGGTAAAATTTGAGACCCCACCTGGAGTACTGTGTCCAGCTCTGGGGTCCCCAGCACAAGACAGACACAGACTTGTTGGAGCAGGTCCCCAGGAGGGACAAGAAAATGGTCAGAGGGATGGAGCACCTCTCCTATGAAGAAAGGCTGAGAGAGTTGGGGTTGTTCAGCCTGGAGAAGAGAAGGCTCTGTGAGACCTTATTGCGGCCTTTGAATACATAAAGGGGGCTTATAGGGAAGATGAGAAAGCCGTTTTACCCAGGCCTGTAGTGACAGGACAAGGGGCAATGGCTTTAAGCTAAAAGAGGGTAGATTTAGATTGGACATAAGGAAGAAATTATCTAAGATGAGGTTAGTGAGACACTGGCATAGGTTGCCCAGAGAAGTTGTGGATGCCCCATCCCTGGAAGTGTTCAAGATCTGGTTGGACGGGGCTCTGAGAAATCTGATCTAGTGACACATGTCCGTGCCCACCGCAGGGGGGTTGGACTGGATGATCTTTGAAGGCCCCTTCTGACCCAAACCATTCTGTGATTCTGTGATTCTAGGAAAATCGTATCTCTGAGCCTCTCATTTCTGCCAGACCCATCACCAAATTATTTTATAGCAGAGTGGGGAACAGCATGTATTCTGAAAATGGCCCAAAAGCTTTTGGCTGTGGTTGAGGGTGCAGCGTTTCTTGCAGTTATGCTGGAGGACCGTGCTGGGTACAGAGAGCAAGGCAGGATACAGCTGTATCCATACCTTCTTGGATATCCAGCTACGCCTCTGGGTATCTCTCAGAGGCAATTCACTGACTTGTTCTCAAAGAGACCCCGGGAACAAGCTGTCCTATGTACAGCACAGAGAATCAGTGGAGTAGGACCCAAAAGCAAACTGTAAAGTGATGGTGTTTGTCTGTGTAGATCTGCCCCTTTTCCAGGTGAACAATACCTAAGGGTCTTAGACCTATAATACTTGGGAGTCACACAGTCGCAGGAGCAATGGCTGTTTTTACTGCTGTTGAGATGAATCTGCTTCCATTTTTGTTAGCATTTGAGGAGATGCCTCTGGTGTGTCTGTGAAATGTTGTCTTAATGAAATCTGAATTTTTAGTGGAAGCTGACTAACAGTATAAGCTTCATCCACCCTCCCAGCTGAGTTCTGCAGACAAATAGAGTCCCGATGTAAAAACAAAAGTAATTTTAAAATGTAATTAATCCTAATGAGAATAGTTCAATGTTAGCTGTTGTTGCTTCAGATATGCATAAAAGCATTGGCCTTCTTGGTTACCTACATGCTTGCCTATAATTAGAAAGACAGACTATCATGTCTAAGATGTGCTATTGAGATCGTTTTCTGCAAGCCAGATAAGCAATGTCTTGCATATTGTACCAGAAATATTCTCTGCTTGCCGCTGGTACAGTCTCAGACGGAGTATGACCTTCACTGTTGTGCAACCAGACTTCAGGGAGGATGTAAACCTGTATTGGGGAAAATTCAGAGAGCAACGGGCATGACCAGAGGTCTAGAAAATATGACTTATGAGACAAAACTGGAACAAAATGAGGTTGTTCAGTATAAGCGGAGAAAAACCAAAGGGATACGTCGCAGTGAAGGGATAAAGTAAAACTGCAAAGAGGAAGGCAATAAAATGTTTTCCATGTCCACAATGGATAGAACAGAAATAATGAGCTTAAAATGCAAGAAGGGAAACAATCGAGGTGTTAGGAAAACTTCCCCAACACCAGGGACAGTGTCATAAAATAGTGGCTTAGAGAGGTTATCTAAGCCCAGTAGCCTCGTCTCAAAGTGGCACTGCCAGGAGCCTGCCTGACTTAAGCCATTTTCAGTGTCTGAGATGCCATCCCATCTTTGGCCAGCCTGTGCCAACGCTCCCTTTGCAGAAAGCTAAGCCTAATTCTTCACTTTTTATCCATGGTAAACAATCCACCTGCTCTTTCCTCCCCACTTTTGTGACATTTGGGCACACTGTGGCGATGCTTTGACCCCTTTCCCCGGGGCTGCTCCCCGGCCCGCCATTTCCCACCCGCAGAGGAGACCACTGTCATGGTGGCGTCTCCTCTCTCCAGGCTGCTCCTCCAGTTTCTCTAGATGGTTTTGCGTGCTGCTGCCGTTCTCCTCCATGCCGGGATAACCCCTCGCGTACAGGGAGGGAACAACTTTTTTGTGGCCGCCGTGTCGAGGGCAAC